ACTTTTGAGAAAAAGTCTGTATTCTAAAAACTCATCCTTCTTAACAGGAATTGCTAGGCCGTGTACAAGACAGGGAGCAGAAGATCGAGACTTTAAAAATCGAGAAACAGGCGATAAAGGAGCAGCTAGAGGACAAGGAGAATGAATTCCTGAAGCTGAAAGAATCTACGAAAAACGAATCCGAGAGCCTACACGAAAGAGAAGATCTCTTACGCAAACTGCAACTCCAAGACAGTGAGATCGAGGAGAAAAATCGAAAAATCGACCAACTGACGAAAGAATTGCAGGTGAAGACGCAGAACCTGCAGCAACTGGTGAACACCGAATTGTGGAGCAAGAATAAAGAGATCGCGAAGCTCCATAATCACATGACCGCGAACAGTAGCTATGAGAGAAGCCGAAACAGATCGGACATCGTGCAAGAAAGTGCTAACACGCAGTTGTCCACGTTGATCAGAGAGTTGAACGACATTGGTATAAAGGTGACGTTTACCAATGAGGTGATCCAATTGAATTACGTCGACGGGAACGAGCCCATAGACGTAAAAACCATGACAGACTATGTACAGAAGCTGTTGATCCAGAAAAATGAGCTGGAGAAAGAGGTCGATTACTTGAAATGGCTGAAGCTGGTCTCCAGACCGGACATCGCGACAGAAATGGACGGATACGGGGATAATCAGACAGCGAAGAACAGAAAATACTGCGAATTGTTGCGTACACATTTGAAGGATTTGGTGAAGTTCATGAAGGAGATGCTGAAGAATGTCGATTACACGGACGCAATCGGTAACGAGCACAAGAAGATCGTCCTCGATGTTCTGACCAATTCAAAGATATTGTCCGACGATTTCCTGAATGCTCTGGAAGGGATCTCGACTAATGATATACCAATTAATGTTGAAGCGGTGATTGCGAGGCAGATCGACGGAAGAGTGAAGAAAAGTCGGTCCGAGAATCTGCTCAGTGCTACGAAAAATCAAACGTCTACGCAATCAGACTCAGAAGCGTTCTCTGAACCGGACAGGACAGTTTCTCTGGCCAGAATTGGACTACAGGAAATGCAACAAAAATCAGTAAACCGTCCCAGGTTCTCCAAGTATACGAAAACATTCACCGATTCCGAAGACTCTCTTGAATACGTGCCTTATCATAAAACTTATCAAAATGATTTGAACGACACGGAAGCAAATCATCAGATACAAGAACTAAAAGAGACGAACGCATTTTTGTATACAGAACTGAGCGCTCTTAGGAACGAATTGAGTGCGAAGGCCTCCTTCGATTGTGTAAGTAAATCGTTGAAAGTATTTTTTTATTAGTCGTCCTAATGTTAACTTAATAAGTGTTCAATTCGAATTTTATATCTTGCAGACATTCGATGAAAAGATATCCCCGTTAATGATCAAACTAGAAACATCGCAGAAGTTCTGCGAAAAATTGCAGACGTCTTTGGAGAGAAGGGTGCATGAAGTTCACACGCTGAAGAAGGAAAGCAAACAGAATAATGTACGAAAGGCACAACTAGAAAAGAAACTGGTCGATCTGGAAAGCATGGCTGCGGAAATGAATAAACAGAAAGCCGAGTTGTTGCATTACAAAGAGAATGCGGACCGGAAAGCCGCGGAGATGCTCATTACACTTAACAGAGAAAACGAAATAGTGAGAAATCATTCTTTTTATGTGTTATTGTTATTTAAATTTTTATTATGAAACGCATGAATAATTTTAGCTGAAGACACGAATTCAAAAACTGGAAGATGAGAATGAAGCTGCTAAGGCGAACATAACAACTTTAACGAAGGAGTTGGATCATTTAACACTTTCACACAGTCAAATTCTTGTGGAGAATACTAAATTAACCAATGACAAACTACGGTTGGAACAAGAAGTTAGAAAAACAGAAAGTAGATGTGACTTGACTATTCGCAATATGCATGACAAGTTTAACAAGGAGGTGAGATCTTTTTATTTTGTTATTAGAATTATAAAGATATATTGTATGTATATATATGTATATATACAATTATATTATAATTATTATATATATATTATATATTATATGTAATTATATATATAAGGATTATAAAAATTTTTCATAGAAAATGTAATGAAAACATATATGTTTATAACTTTATCATTGAGGCTCTTAATTCTCATATCAATTTGATATGAAGATTAAGAACCTAAAGGATAAATATATATGTTTTCATTATATCTTCCATGAAAAATTTCAGATCTCTGATTTAAATCAAATCAACGAATCGCATAGAGTGCGAATGCAGGAATTGGAAGTAGCTAACAAAGAATTACGAAGGCACGTTGCTGTTTGCGATGCTAGTGATTCAGCGCCAAGTTCCAGCGGCGTATCCTCGATACCCACGGACGGTATACTCAAACAAACTTGCGAGGACATCCTGCAAGAGTATCAATCGTATAACGTTAGTGGCAAACATTTATTAAAAAGACAGACCATCTCTAAACCACAGCTGTTTGAAACTTTTTCGCTTCTCTTGGTTTCTTTTAATTGGTTGGACTAAAACACGGAGTCCTAGAAATAATACTGTGCGCATGTTATTACTATCAAAAATAACATTGTTGTTTTTCAGAATTCACAGTACTGGTTTTCCATGAATTATCCAACGATTGGTGGACGAAGCAAATCCAGTTGTTCACCAGATTTAGGGATTGAAAGTGATGCAGCTATGTCGACTATGAGGCCGTTAAAAGATACTCTGAAGATTACAGAATCGATGACAAATCTTTTAAGCGATGAAGACTGCGACAATGGTAATGGTCCAGTTCGAAAAGCAGGTAGCGAGAGTCCGTTGCCGATCGAAGGTATGTTTCTTTTTATTTAACAGAAAAATCTCTTTTATATAGTATATGTAATCATTATGGTTCAATGAAATTGAAACTTTATTTTGTAGGTTTAGATGAAGTGGACGCCTTGAAGCAAGAAAACGAAACGCTGAAAAGAAGGTTGATGAAAACAAGAAGAGCATTGGAGGACACTTTCCAGCATCTGTCTGCATCAAATAAGAACAAGAAGAACGTTGAAAAGGCAATAACGAAGCAATTGCAGATTACCAAAAGTATTTTAAAGAAAACGAGGACTTTCGAGGAGCCCTTGGATAACTAACAGAGATAGGCGGATTGAAACGAGCAGAAAAGATATTCTTGTTGAGAAAGCAACACGTAAAGCCGCTCGTTCAATATCCCAGAAACAACACCATCGTTTATTTTTGTATAATCGCGCCTTTATCGAATCTCTGCCATTCATGCGTCGTTCAAGTTTGTAATAATTCAAACATCTCTTGTTAACGAGAGAAGCAAACGCGTATAATATCTTGTTAAAATTTACGAAAGAAGTATTTTCTTACATATACGAAACGTCGAAATCAGACGAGTACACGTGCATATGAAACGATGACAAACAAATTATTACTTCGTAAAATAAGATGTACATTGCAATTTTTGTATATAATCATGTAAACGTACTCGAACCCTTTGTAGATTGTTTCTCCCTGATCCAATTTTAACGCGACCTTGTGGTCGAAACGAAATCTGTCCGTTTGTCGTGTTTCGTTTTCTCGACAACAGAAATTCGCCCGCGTGTACATAAAACCACTGATGTATCATTACACAGCATCTGTACATAGTCTTCACCAATAAAGTGTCATTAACATTTGATGAAATATTTTGTGTCCAATTTCTTGTTCATTTCAAACAAGCAATCTTAAATTGCTTTTATATTGTTCTACTCAGTGTAACAAGGATATAATAATCCCTGTCACTTTAAATAAAATTATATTCATATTTATGTTATCCCGCTTTATCTAAATTCTGTTTACAAAATTAAGGTGTAATAAATGCTTAAAAATGTTCAGTAAAATTTAATACATCGGTCATATCAAAAAACAAGTGACAACATAATTAATTGTGTTGTGAAGTTTGATTCTCTGCTGTATTTACTATTTACATTTTGTGATGTTAGCTGTTTTTGTACACAATATGGATGCAGCACGCAGCAGATGTTCTTGAACAGTTCTGTACATTTGGTCTACATAATTTTATCATAATTAATGTGTTTAGACAAACCTGCATTGGACACATACGTGCGATAGTGGACGCTTTTGGTAAGAAAAAATCTGAAACTCAAAATTTGTATAGTTCGTACAGAGCAAATAATCTTTATTATGAAAAATCCTTAGTTCAAATGGTACATCTGTAGAAAAATATAATTTCTAATAGATTTGTTTTTTGGATCAATAAATCATTGAAAATGTCATAGGATGAAAAAATATACATGATACAAGTATATTTATAATGATGTTCCACGACCTCTTCCTAATGGAGGAAAATCCATGTCTAGAATATCTTTTCTCTGAAGAGTAACACCCCTTCCTCCTATCGAAGGAAAACTTGTAGAATTAATATTTTCTTCAAATCCACTCACAGCCTTTGCTACTGTTTTAGGTAGTCTCAGAGGTCGACCAGGTATAGCTCGATCGGCTACATTGCATTTGCTGTGATCAATTATTTCTAGATGTTTGCAGAGAGTGCGTCGTTCCTGTTCTTCTTTGTGAGTTCTTTCAGATACCTTTTCTTTGTAGTCTGAGCTTACACCAGTCATCGAGATCGTTTTGCAGTTATCATTAATAGATAAATTATTCAACTGCTGCTCAAGAGTGACATTAGTGGAATTGAAGCTGGTTCGTGGCATAGGAGAATGAATACCATCTATCATCGGTATGCCCAGATATTCGCAGCAGTAATCACACATTGTGTATCCCCATCTTTTTACTACAGACATACTGCAGAATGTAGGTCTACCAGAAATTTTATGATACTCACATTCAAGACCAGTTACCCAAGCAAACGTGTCTTTTCCAAATTCATTCTCCGCAACAACCAGAGGAATGCTACGGCAGTCTGAATTTTCTGCAGCAGCATTTCTTAGTTCAGCAAATAAAGCTTCTATAGAATATATTACAAAGTTGTCTGTGTTTTCATTAGAAGCACTTTCTGTGCACATTCTTTCGAGCAAAGATTTCACGGCAGGAGCCATGTCTTTTATAGTAAATAAAGGAGGATACTTATCTCCAGTCATGTTAGATTTTAAAAACTTAACAAGTTGTTCGTACATATATGAAAAGTCGGCTTGCCCATCTGGATGTTCAATAGGTATTTTGTGAGTTTCCTCACTTATTTCCAAAGCATCCCGCTTCCAGCCTAATGGAATTTTTGTATTAATTACCTCATGGTATACATCTTCAATGCCACTGTCTAAACTGAACTCTGCCACAGCAAACTCGGCAGGACAATACTCATATTTATTGATTCCTATTTCTCTTTTATAAAACCAGTTCACGTGTATGAACATGAATTTGATTTTATGCAAGTTATTATGCTTCCTACCCATGGAAGTTACGGATTGTATGTACCGTAACATATTTTGCCGAAACTCTTGTTCTTTTTTCTCAGCAATGAGAACTTCATCGATACACTCTCCTAACGCTGTCTTTTTGCTTTGAGATCCTTGTGCTTCAATTTTACTGTCTTTCGCCTTCGACTTATAGTATGATTTTTGTTCGGGAGACAAACTCAACCAGTCCACATTTAATTGCGGATCCTTTTGAACGTCTCGCAAACCTTCAGGAAATTTGGTCCCGCTCTTCTCTTGTTCTTTTTTCCAATCCACCATAAAGATATAGAAGGCATTTTTTCCCTTGTATTTCGGCATTTTATAACTGTAAGTGCAACACTATAACCTTTATTAATTTGTAAACAGTGGCATCGAGTGGTAAGAGGTGCGAACAGCCGACAAGATCGGACTCGACTACGATGAGCGCATTGCAATGTTCTTGTAGGGAAGTAGAGTGGGAGAATTATCCATCCTTGTTCGATACATGCCTACACATGTATATGATATTTCGACAAATATCGCTATGCTACACTTGGCCATCCGGAAATCTTGGATGACATTGATTTATATAAATTCAAAAAAGAAATTAATTTATTTAAATTTATGTATTGTAGAGTAGTGAGATTAGACGATTCCAATGAATTTCCAATCCTCTTCGCCAATGCGAAGGCAATACAATTAATAAATTACGCTTGAACGTAACGTAGAAATATGCTCAACAGGTATGATTGCCGAAATGTGTGTGTGCGTGCGCGCGCGTGTGCCCATGCGCGTGTGTGCGTCGAGCACCTAAAAAGACAAGGACGTTATTGTTTCAAATGGAACACGTATGAAATGTAAGCCAACCGTCAATAATCATAATACATTATGCGTTGTCAACGAATAAAGGTCGTTTGTATTTTGCATTCTTGATTCTATAGATGTTTGAAATGTAGTATTAACTTGTTCTAAATAAATTATAACTATTGAATTAGCAAAGGAATGAGAAAGAGTTTCGCGTCAGCTGAGCTCGCCTCTCATTGGTCACTGTTTTTCGTTAATAACTCGTTAACGGTGCCTCGGAGAAAATTTTTGTAATGGAAAAAGTTGCCTCCAATGACCTGAGGAACCCGCCACTTTCGGATTGCGAGACATTTTTAGGACACCCTGTATATGTTCAAGAGCGAGAGAGAAAGACTTAAATTTGCCTTCTATCTCGACTCCCGAAGTTATCCGAAATGATTCGAAGCATCTACCTAGCTCACGTGAATGCGGATCATGAGGTAGGAAAAAGAAATGAGAAAAAGTATCTTTCTTTCTTTATCTTACTTCCTGTTGAGATCGAAATGGGCATCGATAAGAAACTAAGACGCGACGTTAGGTCCATGTTCGATCTCTTCACAGAAGGATCCATAGTTGTAGATTTCCTTCAGCGCCAATTAGTATGGCGGTAGAACGCCAAAACTACTCGTCAAATTACCGACATTCGGTTTTGTTTAGCGACGTAGTCTTTCTTGGTAACTCGCAGAGATCGGGCCTGTTACTAGCAAATGGTCAGTAATTTGCTTTCTTAACCACTTAGCTGCATCGATCCATTTTGCAGATCAATTTTGTATGCGTTTTATCGATCACACCGGGTGCAGTTTCTTACGGTAAGTTGCTCTAGAATTATTTTAAAATGTGCAAAATTTATGAATATGTTTCACAAGCATTCTAACCTAAATTGTAGGAGAAGTATTTTTGTTGTAAGATGTAAAATTGCCATTTCCTTATATAACGTCGTCTACAGCTAAGAGGTTAAATAATTAATTTAAATGGTGTAACTCGATATTAACAAAATATCAAAAATAACACGAATAGAAAACTGATGGTATCATTTTTGGCAAAATTCCGATATTTTCGTAGGAAATAGGTAAGTTTAGAGTGTTGATTCGTTGCTCTTTGAAAGAATTGCAATTTATCGCATTCTTCTGCGCTCAAATATTTAGAAATTGATTCGTATAATTAATATTTCGAAGTTAATAAATCATTTTAATGTGAATCGTGTATTCTTTCCGATTTTTCCTGATTGAATTCATGCGTGGGAAATGCCGTTTTTCTTCTGCAATGATAGCGGACCGCGGTGTACCAGAATCTACTAATCTTAGTGAATGTTCGACATATCGAACGACGATATAAATCGACATATCGACATATCGATCATCAGAGTCAGTTCGACATATCGAACTAACGACATATCGTTAGTTTGAATGTTCGACATATCACAGGTCACCATTCTCACGCTTCTCAGAGTTCACGCTCCAAATCGTAGGATTAAGATCGCAAGCTTCTAGCTCCTTATAATTTTTAAAGATTTCGTTGATTAAATAGGTTTGTCACTTTTAAACATACAAAAAAGTGTCCTATTAAGTCGGAAGAAGTGAGTTTGAAATTTTACTCTTCCCCCACTTCATCTGCTTTTACGCAGTGGAAATGTTTTCGACACGTTATTAATATAATGTTGAGAATAAATAAGACTATTTTCCCAAGATATTCTGATAATTTGTTTACATTCACTGTATATTCTTTTTATATTTTGTTACTTAGTAATAACACATATCTTTATACTTTTTTTCAGAAGTTCGCTTGCATCACTTGCCAAGGAAGGAAAACATTTGTAAGCACATTTCATAATTATCAGTAATTCCGCTTGTTAAATAAATAAAAATTAAAAAAAATTCGTTCCTAATTGTAATATTCATTTGAAGTAGATAAAACATTTCTTCTGAACAAATTCTATACTTTTC